CCCGCCTTGAACAGATCTGTCTTGACCTACCTTAGAAGTGTTATCTCTTTCCCACGAAATGAAGGTAAACCTACTGATGATTCGTGCACAACATCAAAGAACAGGAAAGGACAGTGTAAAACTCTCTATGCCTGCCCTATAGTACTATTCAACATACATAAAGAATACCCTACAATTTGTGAATGGAATGGTTTTATCCCCGTTGTTTGCTGCACTGATGTTGTACTAGATAATGTTCCAGACCTTACCATTCCAGGTGAGGGAATTTATCAGAATTATTCCAACTGTTGAAGTGGTTTATTTTACGAGATAATTTAACTGTGAATTAATATTTCGATCAAGAAATGAGTTGTATAACAATTTGTAAGGTTGGTAAATTAGTATAAATAATGACTTCTTGTCTGGTTTCAATGATGATATCCAGAAGACCATAATTAAATGAACGATTATTGCAATACAAATGAAACAGAGAACAGATAAATATATCCAATAGCCATATGTTACTTTATTTTACAGTTTTAATAAAATATACCAGAATAATGAAATAGAAAGCGCCAAAATATCCATACATCTTCAGTTTGATTCATATCATTGCATACTAACTCTTGATGCTTCTATTTATATCGACAACTTGCATTTTTCGAGGAGTGGTTGTGTTGAATTCTGATTTATTTTAGGCTTCATATTAACAATCATCATACTCTTTTGTACTTATTATCATAGTGATAAAACTATCATTGGTAATAACTATATTGCATTCCAAATATGTCGTGTAATACTTGAATGATTCTGAACTTTCTCAGGAATATTTTATACGGGTTGAGAACTGCCTAGTATTAGTGCTTACGTGTTCCTCCGCACGTACATGCTGTGCACATTTCTAAACAACAAATGGCTCCGTTTATTGTAGGTATTGCATCTTTGAAACGAAACAAATGAATAAATACAAATCAAACAGCTAGCATTAAAATATATTTAAGTTCAACCTGTGGATAAACTGTGCTTAATATTAAATCGATTCTTGTTCCAAATATTGTAACGTTATTTTTATTGGTTTCTTTGGTACATGAACTTCAAGACTTTAAGGGTTGTTAATATATTTTATCCTCCAGTGGTTCAGCGGTAAGACATTTGGCTTGAGACGCCGAAAATCGTGTTTCTATACCCCTGGTGGGCAGAGCACAGAGACAATCCACTGTTTTTATTGATATTACTGTCGAAGTTAATATCAAAATTATTGCCTTTTAAAAATTATAAATATTATTTCATGATTTTTGTTAGAATAATTGCCCAAAATTCTGCAAGAACGGTTACAAAGTATTTTAGCCTTATTTGCTTTTTACTTCTTAGAAACAAAACTACTAAAATGTCCAAACCCATTTCTAAAGTAACAAAAATATTCAAAATATTGTATGTTAGACCCTTTCTTGCATGTGAGAGTGAACTTTGTTTGGATGTTTACTGTTTAAATATCGTAAGAAATCAATGTGACCTTGTAATTGAAAAACATACCTTCCATTATAAAGTGAATTAAGTTCCATAGAATATTTCGTTCATATTGTACTTCATAAAAACCCAAAAAATAAAATAGCTTAGCAGGTATATGTTTAGATCCTATGCTAACACCGTTCATATGATCACATATTATTGTATTAAAAATAAGAAATATGATTGTTTTGGTGCTAAGGACATTCACTTAGAATGTACATATTTCGGAAGAACGTTCGCTGTATCTGATGAAGGACACGTCAGTTCTCAGCAAATCCAATAGTCTTTTCTAGTGGAATCTCAGTATAAAGTTATGAACTGAGTCCGAAAACTGTCTTTAACTGTACACTCATTATCCATATATATTCATTAAAACATTAGCCAAAAACTCATAGTTTGTAATTGTAGGCACCATGTTTTAAACAACTGTTCTTACTAGTGGTATAAATGGGCCGGTACACAGTACTGCCTTTTCTATATTCCAAATAGTTGCGTACAGGCTCTTCTCATAATAGCTAGAAATACGTATCTAATACGTAAATATCTACCAATATATGCATATGCATAAGAAAGTATTTAAGCAGTTGCAATGACAAACATACGTATAAAGTTCAGGTTGGAATATACATTGAGAATAATAGGATCTGAAACAATATTTTACTTGTTCTAAACATATTGATCTTTGTATAACAGCTGTTGCTATAAGCTTTTTAACTTGTTTTATTAAAAACTTGTATTTTTACTTCAGGTTGTGGTATACGGGGAACCAGTATAGAAAATTCTGGAATATTCAAGATACAAGTAGTTGGTGGAGAGGAAGTGGTTCGTAATTCTTGGCCATGGATGGTAATGTTTTTACGAAAATAATTTCGTATAAAGTTTACACAAGCCTAAAAAAGTGTAACTGTTTGTTAGTTTTGTTACTAAAATATTATATAAAAATTATATTTAGCAATTACTAGAATAGCATACGCTACTGTTAAGTGTGATAGTTTATACTTTTAACCAAATTTTATTTTGAGGTGCTATGTTTTCTATGTGTACTTTTACTATATAGTAGATCTCTTCTAGACATGATGGCTATATAAACAAACTTCATAAAACCATCAACGTACGAAGTTTCTAAATGTTCAATATTATAGTTTTACCTTGTATTGGTAATCCTGCCTTAGGTGTAACACCCACCTCAGTACACCAGCGGTAAGTCTTGGAACGCTAAAATGTGGGTTTTGATACTGCATTGGGCAAAGCACGGCTAGCCAGCTGTATAATAATAAACAAACAAATACATTGTGTCAAGAAATAATTTTTAGATTTTTAAGTGAGTGATCTAAGATGGTTCTAATAAGGTTAATATCCAATGATTATCTTGGCCGCAAACGAAAGGTACTGCTCTGACACTCAAGCCATAATTTTGTGACTCTGGCTAAATGACCAATAATTTAAGCAATGCAATATGCAATGAGATGTTGAACATGTGCGAAATAGGTAAGTTAGCAGGCTTGGAGAAAGTTAATTTGCAAAGATGATGTGGCAGACAAACACACCAACACCATTCTATATATTGACACACATATCATCCTAGGTTTTCAAGCAGATATGCCAGAAGTTCACTGGAGAGGAACAGCCTTCATTCCGTGCATTGACACATATGTTATCAAGGTTTTTCAAGCAGACACGCCGGAAGTATATTGGAAAGGGACAGCCTTCATTCGATGTACTGAAACACATGTGAGCTATGTTTCCGAGAGTATCTGAACAGGTCATTCTGTGTTTACTTGCAAGCACATTAGATAAACCCACAGAAGCGAAACAAGCTATGATGAAGAATTTATATGATTAAGATATCCGTCTTTGGGCACTCACATAGAAAGTAATGTAGATCAAACCAACAATTTGAAGGATGAACTTTGTGTAATAAATAGATTACCATTTCCGGATATCCATAAAACTTTGTCTCTGTTATCAATAATAAGTACCAATGTATCTAACCAGTCAGTCAAGAAGAATTATCTTGATTAACCTTACTTGGGATGAAAACTCGTTACTTTATCATTTATAATGATAACGAAGTATTTTGTGATTTGTACACGTACTTTCGCGCATTCGTTATTATTTTCAAGCGGTTGATTTTTATATACGTGAATTCGTATTTCTTAATATTCAACTGTAAGACGTATGCAATTTCAATGTGAGTGAATATCAAAAAACGTACTGTGAAGAAAAAGGATAACATTTTGTATTTTTTGGTTAGGTGCTACAATAACTGGGGTATCTTAGTAACAATGAGATTAATGAATATCAGTAGTATATACATCTTAAATTATGATCGTCTGGCATAAATAAATGACAAAAATACGTGCTTTTAAGGAAGTTACAAACCACATCCGCTACCCTCTCAAAGTATGATCCATCCCCCCATTCAAAATTCCAGGACGCTGACATAAAGAACCTTGTATACCTTTCTAACTTATTAAAGAAACATAGTCTTACCAAATAGGCTGAATGTACCTAATAAACATATCAAATGTAGTTTAGAATAGATTGAGGTCAATAAAGAAAGCTCAACTGGCGTACCACTTACATCATAGCATATATCTAATTCAAATAATAGTATATTGTGGTGGTAACTTTGAAATCTTACAAAAGAAACAAAATCTGTAATGTATATGCACACATGTTTTTTCTTTGTTATACAAAGAAATCGAATACTAAAATATATCAATAATTTTTCGTTCACTTAACTTTTGTAACGAACGGACATATTTTCATCAATATTCGACACCTTGAATTTTAATTTTTGTTGTTGTCGCTAATGGAGACTGATTCTTATACTGTGCTTCGTTTTGATAAAAACGTATATGAAGATATTAAAAAAATGCATAGATAAAAAAAATAATATGTTTAAATAGGTTATAAAACTTCAAAACCTCTATTTCCCAAAGTTGATGTTTCGAGCATTCATTAATTGTCAGATCAAAATACACATTCATTAAATGCAATACTTTTGTAGTTTTTTGCGCGTGTACTATTTCTATCAACCCATAACAATTCTGAACAATATTAATGCTCTGTAATATTGGTGAAACAGCAATGTCGTACCCTGGTCACCCACAAGTAAGCATGAGGGCTAATAATGCTAAAATCGAGAGCTCGATCCCTGTAATGAGTACAGAATAGAAAACTAATTCTGTAACTTTATGATTGACAAGAACAAAAATAAACGTGTTTTTCTGGTGACCCGTACGTTCTGATATATACAATATTAATCATTAATTTGTTGCAAGTAGCTGTTTTTGTGATTTACAGCTGTTTTAGCGTTATTCTTGTTAAAATAACGTAGATTTTGTGTTAGAAGGATTTAATAGTTATTGTCAAGTGTGATTTTGTTTTTCAAAAATGACATTTTACCATATCCTCGCATTATAGGTTGGAATCTCGCAAAATTTTGGGTTTTCTGAACGATTTCTTTGTGGTGGTACTCTTATTTCATCTAGATACGTCATCAGCGCTGCTCATTGTTTTAAGACATCAAATAAACCTGTGTAAGTAATGACATGACAATAGTGATTACAATGGACACTTCCTGTTTTTAATGCATCAGTTGCATGATCAATTTTTATGGTGTGATCTAGGTTAAGTAATAATGTTAGTATTATTATTTATATTTTAATAACTTACAAGTAAGAATTAATAACACATTACTGTTTATTTATTTTGAACACCAATTATCTGTTAATTTCATTATTATTATTGTTATTATTATTATTATTAAATTAACTTTACTATCATTCAAAAGAGCTGAAGAGCCGGTCAGATACAGAAAGGAACAGTAACGGAAGATAATAAAAATGCTTGATTTTTCTATTACTTTCAGAGAAGACGGAGAAAA